AAAGGAAGCAGTTGTTTTCCTACACTAAATCCAGCCCAGAGACAAATGTAGATTAACATATGTCCTTGATTTTCTTGACAACAGCATCCTTTGAAGATCTACATCTAAGTCTAATAAGGGCATGTGCATATTACAAGGCCACAGGTGAAATAATTATATTTCTAATCAGTTCCTTCTGATGGTGGAGAAAATGTATCATGGGATGATTGTCATCCTAAGAATTTTTTTAAAAGATAGGAAGAGAAAAAGTAGGTCATTGGGAAAGTAGAAAACTCGTTACCCAAGAATACTCTAGGGAGAAGTGCGATCTAATGGCTGGACTATTAATTTCCCTTTCACCTAGAACCAGAGAGTATTTAAATATTAAGGAATGTGTTAGAGAGCCAAGCTTTGACTTCTGTGCCCACCTAAACAAGATAGGTTTCACCTAGACATCTCCCCAGCTTTACCCCTATGGTGTAAAACGATACCACTCTAGACTGCAAAGAATGCTTATAGATAAGAACAGCAGCCTGGTCAAGGCTCCAGTTCTGCAAGGCTAACCCAGGACTGAAATAAATCCACTTTTAAAGACAGAATACAAATACAATTCCTTAATATGTAAGTCACAAACCTAACAACACTGAACTATAAATTACCTAAGGACACAATTACAACATTAAGAAAATTAACCCTGTTATAGTCTTTTACCTGGTATTTTTACAACCTAAATACATTATGATGGATAAGAACTAAAACTACAATTTATAATTAATTTGGAGAAAGAGGAAATGATAAATTATTTTTTATTCCACAATTTAACTTTAACACCATGGTACATAGTGCAAAGTCTGTTAAGAAGTTGAAAATAGTTAAGTAGATTAGTCAAGGATAAGTGAATTCTAGGACCAGAAACTTGACCAAATCTACCTTGTCTTCAGACATTGAAAAACACAACAGAAATAAGGAACCAAAATCATTCTGGTTTCCTGCACCCTTTAGGTTAGAAGGAACAATATTTTACGACACCGGAAAAGGGCAAGTCAGTGGTTGAAGCTAGGGTTTTCAAATTTGGGCAGAATATCACTTTAAGAGCCTTTAAGATTCTCAAGTTTTCACTGCCAAACAGATCTACATTAGTTAGAACACAGCATAAAACTAAATATATAAAGCAGTACGGCATTTCTCAAGCTTTTCTACTTCAGAGTCCGAGAAATGTCATGACCTCTTGGTTTTATCTCACCTCTCTCTTCCATCACCTCTTTATTACTAAATCCAATGAGAACCTTCAAGCCAGCTGACACAGATTGGTTCAGGAAGCTAAAGGTCTGCAGTGGTCAGTATAAGTCAGAAGTGGATTGCGTGCTATTTCCTGACAACAAAGACTCAGTACTCAGTACATTCCATCTAAAGTTCAAAGTGAAAAAATTATGTGGGAACCAGGCCCTAAAAGCCTCTTTAGAATTCTCCATTCCACAGGATAGCCCACTCAGATCCACCCAGCCTCCCCCTGAGTAAGTTTAGCTACTTGAACCAGTGTCTCTGTAAAATATACATTTAAAAAAAGAATTTTGTGATACAGTATCTTAAGTCTTTACAAAAAAGCCAGTAACTAAGATATGATCAATAACTACTCATAATTGGCCTTAAAAAGCAAACTGTAATAGTTACAGCACCAAAGCCAGTGCTCCACTAAATTTTACAATTTAGGATTCCCTGTGCTGAAGAATTATTAAATCCTTTGATACTCATCCGTAAACAAAATACCCATTGGAATTCTAAGGAGGCCAAAATGAGGACGCCAAATGCACATCTACTTGCCTTCTTGCCATATACCTTCCCACACGTCAAATTACTATTGCACAGAGAGCCACTGAGCTAACCATTATTCCAAAATGTTCCTAAGTCTCTGAAAAAGAAGTACCTTGGTTCCTGATGATTATTCTGTAATGGAAAAATGATCTCACAGTGTAAAGTCATCCTGGATAAATAAGCCAGTAATGGCAATATTCTGTTATCTACATTTCTACTTACCCTCAGTAACATCCTGGGGGTTAGAAGTCCGGTCACTGGCTGGATCCACTGCAACCGTTGCCAGTGAAGTGGTGGCTCCAGACATCTCACTCATAGGCTCACTACGACTTGTTTCAGGCACACTTTCCCGGGAGCTAAATCTTACTCGGGAACTGGATCGAGAGCTGAGGTCCGGGCTGGTGTCTGACAAGCCTGGAATGTCATCGATCTTCGTTGGTGTCACCATGAACCGAACTGAAGCCATCTTGGTGGTGGTTTCTGGAGGATGCATTTTTCCTTTATAAGGGCAAAAAAAAAAAAGCCCCCCCCTCCGCAAAACCCTTCCTCCTATGCTGGCTACTTATGACTGCAAAAACAGAAGAGATAACTTAAAAAAAAAACGTTAATTACCTTGATTTACACCACCCAAAAAAGCCCCAAATCAGAATCCTTCTACTCAGAATTTAAGGGGGCTGTCCTAGAAAGTGTGCTACCAGTAGCTGAAAAATATTTAAGGAAAAAAAAGTCAAAAGGATGCCAATCTCGTGTAACTTTGTTCCTTCAGAATTAAGAGATATCTAGTCATCTGCCCTGGTCCAGGGCTGCGGGCTCTGTGTCATGGTCTCAGAGAAGCAGGTGACGAAGCCTTGCTGCCCTCGACCCTGAGGTTTCGGTCAAGGTAGTTAGTCTTTATCCGTCAATGTCCCACAGCTAGTTGAGCAAAGTGCGCACAGGCCCACACTTAGCAAGCGAAAACAGCATAGATCTGATTGCGAAACGGTGTACACCCAGCCACCTGTTGTGTATCAGGTGAATACCCCACAGGTCTGGCTGGGAGGAGGTGTGTGTAGAGCCACCCGATGTTTCTGAGGCCGATAATCCACTGGGGTTTGGAGGGAGAGGTGCGCACGCATAACGGGGAAAATATCGCACACTACGGGTGGAGGAGAATGAGAGAAGGGTGAGCAGAGGCTGCAGGGGCAGAGCGGATTCCTGCCTCCGAGAGGTCTGCGGGGGTGGTCCGCCTGCTCTTCTGGCAGAAGGGTCCCTGGGATCTGGGAGGAGGCGGCTAGCGGATGAGACTCCTCGGACTGCAGTTCTGGGTCGTGGCAGGTCGCTTCTAGTCCATCAAGTCCCCGGTCGGCTCGCCGGGTTTCTTCTGCGTTTGACAGGACGGGCCACCCCTTTGCCGGAGAAGCTTTCTCCCCTACCAGGGCCCGGGCGCAAGGTCAGCGCCTCGCTGCTCTTCCTTCAGGTCCTAAGAGAAGAGGAGCCGGCCTCGCAGGCTGGCTCCGGCTGAGCAGGAGGGAGCGGCGAGGATGAGGGTAGGAGGCGGTCGCAGGTGCGGGATGCCGGCGCCAGCTGATGCGGATGCGCGCGCAGCTGTTGTTTACCAGCGGGTAACTGTTTCCGAGCCGCGACGCGCGCAGGAGAGCTCGGGCTGCTGCCGGGGAGGGCGCCCCCTCCCCGGCCAGACGCTAGAGCGACAGTTACGTGACCTCGCCGCCCCCGGCCCCGGGCCCGGCGGGCTCTGCCCGCACCGCCGCAGCCCCTCCCTTTCCTCCCTGCTCTTTCCTCATTCGAGGTTAACGGTCCGAAGAGAAGCTTAGGGGAGCGGTCTGAGGGCGGCACCGTCCCGCGAGCGCCCGAAAGCCCCGCCCAGTCTCTGCAGCCCGCGAGGCGGTGGCGAAGGCTGCGCGCATGCGCTCGCTCTAGTTGCAGCTGGACTTGCCTCGAGGGGCGGGGCCGAACGTGGGAAGCCCGGAGCACGACGGGAACTGTAGTTGGGTGTGAGGGCCTGAGTTGCGTGCACCTGGGAAAGCACATCCTTTTCCTCTTTGTCCTGCTGTGTTGCAAACTCACTCTGGAAGTGGAGGTATCTCAGGGAGCAGGCGATGCCTCATGCCCTCAGAACCTCAAAGGCCATCTCTCTTTAATAACAGCGTCCCTCAAAGTAGCATTCATAATTTCTTTAAAAATCAATACCGTTTATCTAGGTATGAGCCTCATTGGAGTTTTTAAGTAGTGGCCTATTCTAAACCATTGTATGCTCAAATTTATACACACTTTGTGCCAACTTTTTTTCTTTTTCCTGCCCTTTGAAAAAATGCTTTCACAATGTACACACCTATCGAATCACTTTGTACACTTTAAAACCGGGAAAAAAAATACTGTGTTCATTTTTTAATCAGACTGAAATTTCCATTAAAGAAACCGCCTAATTTTAGACCTGGAAAAGATACTGAAATACTTTCTCTTGACTCCACTCCCAGTGTTTTCCCTACTACTGCCACCAGAATATTTTTCTTAGCATGTTTATTTAATGCATGAATAGAGGTGTTTAATAAATTTGACTCATCAGTGTTTTGCTTAAAAGTTATTTCCTAGAGCTTTGATCAAGACATTTAAATTCAACAATCTGGGCCCTGGCTTTGCTCTGGTCCTTGCTCAGCATAAGTGGAAATGCTTAAGATCATCCTTAGCAATAGATCACAACTCTAAGACCTGAACCAGGAAATTCCCTTTTATCAAATGACACTTAAAGTCCAAAGTCTGGTTAAAGAGATCCAGGTAACAAAGTGAGAAATAAATTTCTAGTTAAAATGTACATCTCAGAGCTGTGACTGTTGATTTAGGCTGACAGCTTTCTTACTTGAGGAAGCAAGAAATTTACCTCCCTGAGGGATCAGTTTTCTCTTCAGGCAGGCCATTCAAATCTTACCTACTTTCCTTTTATAAAGACATCCTGTATTTCTCCAACGTCGAATTTTATTTCAAACCACAGTGTATTTTCATTCACTTTATACTATACTTAAGACTCTTACCCCATTTCTGAGCACATCTCAGAAGATGTTAATACCCAGATCTCTTAAGGAAAGTCTTCTAGAGCTATTTCCAAACTAAGTCTTCTCATTTCAGTCTACACAATAGGTAGCATGGAACAATGCTAATCCTTTCATTTTGTGGGGTTGGGGAAACTTAACAAAGACAGAATAGCAGTCAACATCTTTTTAAAAATGGTAGAATTCCTTTATTGAGTTTGGTGCTTAAAAAACTTCCAAAGCAGATCCTTTTTCTAGGCATTTGCAGAATTTATAACACTTCTTCAATCATTATCCCCTAATAGGATAGGACAATTCTTTAAAATCCCTCATCTCCAATGTGAAGAACCCTGTAAGCAAATAGGCTAAGAAATAAAAAATTGTTTGACAGGAAATAAGTATCTTATTTCCCATTCCCATAAATTTAAGAAATTGATTTGAAAATCATCTGTCTTCTATTAACTATGACCCAAGTATAGAGATTCTTTTTTTTATCAGTAGTCAACAGCTATCCTGAACTTTTCCGCTGAGATGGACAGACATCAGAGTCTAAGTGAAACATATTTAACCCTTTCCAAGCCAGTCTTGATAAATCAAATTTGTGCTGATTTGTTACATCTGCTTCTAGAGTCTAGAACCTTGATGTGATAGAAAAAGAAGATTGTAATTGGAATATAGTCTCCACAAAGCAATTTTAAAATCAATAGCACTAACCGAATGTTCAAAATCAATGTCAAACATTGTAAACTGACTATACTTCAATAAAAAAATACACACAAAAAAATTTCAATGCCAAAAGCTACAAATGAGAAGATTGGGAAATAATGAGTTGATTTACTTGATAAGGAGAGGGAGAAGCAACCTAGCATTTCTTGAATGCCTATATACAATATTTTGCCTCAACATCTCTCTAATCTGAAGTAACTGGGTTGAAAATTTAAAGTTGCCCCATGATAAAAGTGCAGGTCCTTAAACAACAAATTCCTAAGAGCTGCCTGAAAAACAACAAAAATCCCTGTTTGAATCTCTATCTCATCTTCTAAATTAAGACCCATGTAGAGTTCCACATAGCAGTAGCTACCAGAGAAAACAAAGTAGGTGAATGTAAGAGAATTCCTTGATAGAGAGGACTAAAATCTGGGGAAGATTTCCAGAGGGGCAGTAAATATGCATAAAGGTATTCTCTCTCTCTCTCTCTTTTTTTTTGTTAGGGGGGAGATAATTAGGTTTACTTATTTATTTATTCTTACAGGAAGTACTGGGGATTGAACCCAGGACCTCATGCATACTAAGCATGCACTCTACCACTTGAGCTACACCCTCCCCCAATAAAGGCATTCTCATTTACAATGGTTGCACACTGTGGACAAAAATTAGATATATTAAAATCCACCACTGAGTCCTATTAATTTTGGAGTTGGAAGAGAACTTAGAAATGATTTAAAAAAAATGGAACTAAACAAGTTTACTTTCTCAAAGTTACACAAAGAGGAGAGAATCCTGGTTTCCTGGCTTTCAGTTCAATGCCTCCCCTCTACAATACAGCTGCTATTACTTTTCAAGCAACTCTTCCATTTTGAGTCCAATGTCATATCAAGGGGCAAGAAATTACTTAAGTGACCAGAGGGGTATTCTTCAGTGAATGCTGACAGCTGCAGAAGAGTCCTTCTCAACCTCTCTTTCACTTCCCCAGCACTCTCCTATGACTCACAGCCCTATTCTGCTACAGTAATCACCAGTTTTTCTTCCAAGAGGTCTCTTACCCCTGGGGTACTCTTCCCTCTCATCTCCTTCGTTTTTGTTTTTAAACCACTCCTTTCTTCCCACAACATACAAGATAAGGGCGCTTTCAAATCATTTTAATAACCTGGCAGTGATTCAAAATATGAAAATTCAAACTTCTTCCCCTTAAAACGGGATGGTATCTTCACACAAACATGATCAAGGGCAATGATGAGACCGGATTCCAAACAGCAAGGGCCGTAAGAAGGCTCCAAGGCTCACAGACTGAAGAGCTTGATTTCAGAGTCTCTCGAGGGCTAGCAGGCAGCAGAAGAGACACGAACTTTTAAGAGATCCTCAGAGGACAGGGCGCGGTTGCTGGGTCATGAGCACCTTGAAGCGTTTCTTGATGGTGATTCGATGTCTAGAGTATTTGTCGTCTGGGGAGAACCGAGCAGGATGGGCCGAGCAGGTCTGTTGTCCCATAGGGTCGAGTTTCTGCTCGAGAAGGAAAAAGAGAACATAATCTAAGGACTGGAGCGGTGGGAAAACCCAATCACTGGGATCAAAAGGGAGATGGAGGGGGTATGGGGAAGGGGCCGCGCCAAAAAGGTGAATAGGAAGACAGGAGACGCGACGGTCAGATCAAGCAGTCATACACTCCTGCTTCTACCACGCCTGGCTCCCGGCTTTCCAGTTCCCCGCGGCCAGCCAGGCAACTCACTGGCTTGTCTCGACCGCTCCTCCCAACTACATTTCTCGCCATACTCTTTTACAACCTGTTTCTTCATCTCACCTTCAGGGTATAGACCCGTTCTCCCTGCTCGTTGAGGTAATACTGGAGAAACATTACCACGCGGCTGCCGAAGGTTCCAATACCGTGCGCAGCTGCCTCTAACTGGGGTCCTCACGTGTTTGTCAACTTCCTTCCTGCACAGCCGGAAGCCTCGCTCTAGAGGCACGCCGGGAAATGTAGTCCAGTTTAGACCTTTCCTCCCCTGGCCGTAAGGGCGCGCACTAGCGCAGGACTTGGCCTGTTGCAACCCAGTCGCAACCTCGCAGGGGTCCTAAGACAAGTGGAGTGTGCCCACTGTGTGCCAGGCACTGCTAAGCGTTGGAGGGGAGTAGGGATGGGTATAGACTGAACATTAACGAATAGAATCCTGTCTTTATCCCAAGATGCACACCCATTTCAGAGGCAGTGGGTTTCTAGTACTCGGAGGAACAAAGGCTCCAGGGTCCAGAGCCCCTTTTACCTTAGGGAAGAAAGAAGAAAGTTTTCTTCCCTCCCCTCTTTTACATCCGGTTCCCTCGCCCTATTTCAAAATATTGGCGGTAAAGAGTGCATGATGGGTATTGAATATTATGTCCCGCGCAGAGAGCGTTAAGTTATTTTATGAAACTGGTGAAGTATGTTTTAGTGGTCGAACCAAGATTCAAACTTAGGTCTCTACCACAAATTCAACGCTCTTTCTTATAGTGGTGAGTAGCTAATAATAGCATAATAAAATGCACCTCCTAGGAGTATTTAGATTTTTAAAAGAACGTACAAATTATCCGTATACGCCTCTAGTTTCCAGAAATGAAAATTGGAACTTAGATATCATTACAAATGTGATCGTTGCGTATTATTTATGACGACAAAAACACTGTAATGTATATTAACTTTACAACCAGAGTAACCTGAAAACTTTTTTTTTTTTTTTTTTTTTTAGAATATAGCTTTTATTTACTTATAGTTGAATGAAAAAACCTCTGCAATTTCCTCAGGGTTAAAGAACTCGGTTCCAGAGGTAAGGAGTGGAGGGAGACTTGCTATATATTCCATTTTGCACAGTTTGACTTGAACCACGCTGATGTGTTAACCTATTTTAAAAACGAAAACTATTTAGCAAAAATTTAAAACAAGGAAAATAATTTAACGAACAAAAGGGACTTTTTGGTCTTGAAATTTTAGGCTGAATGGCAGTTTTGGATAGAGTGGGGCTTTTCAGCCAAAGGTAACGCTGAGGCTTCTGTGGACTGCAGAGGTGATGATAGTAAATGACTTGGGAACTTCAGGACAGCTTTCCAAGGAAATGATGTGCATACACAGACTTCTGAGACAAACCTAATTTCAAACATTCTGTTCCCTGGATCCTTAAGTACATAGACTATGTGCTCTGAATTTGGTTCAGAAAATACAGCCAACATTGAATTAAGTCAAGGGTTTGCCACAACCTGCTATTAACAGGAAGTCAGGTACAGAACTGGGTGGGAGTGAAAGGCACAAAACTAGATATATTGGTAAAGAATTGTATAGGGAACCCAGGTGCAAAATATGTGGTTGGGAATCTGGGGAAGAATTTGCAAGTTGCCCTAAAAAGGTATACAACTGTGTTGCCATACTCTGGTTTGGAGGGGATTCCTGGTTACTGTGTACTTACCAAGGTCTTTCGTGGAATATCTCCCTACCCCCACCCCACATCGCCCCCTCCCCTCCCCCACTGCAGAATGCCTTGAGTTCTAGATTCTAGTTCTGTTTTGATCTTATCTTTACCTCCTCCTTCTTGGATCCCTGCATATCTACTGGAGGCAGATTACCTTCTGGGGCCTGGACCTGACTGTCTCATTCTGGAGGCTTCCAGACATCCACAGTTAGTGCCCAAACCTGAGAGGATGGCTTCAGATGGAGGTGAGTTGCAGGTGTGTGTGGGGGGATCCCTGCCACCTGCTCACTCCTTGGAGATTCACAATTTGACACTTTAACTGGGGACGAGCTCTCTGGGCTGACCTAGAGGGATGTGAGAGCACTAGACCACCCCCCAACCCCAGAGGGAACCCACATAGGGAGGCTGGGGAGGGAGACTCAGCCATGAGGGCTGGGGGGGTGAGGGAGGAAGAGGGCCTCCTGGGTGGCAGATCAAAGCGCCTCAGAGGAAGATGCTGAGTAGATATAGAAGGTATGGCAGTTAGCCACTTACTTCTCTGGAAGAGGGACCCCTTTAGTGTGTGCTTGTGTTGCCTGGGCAGGGGTCTTTGTGGTAGGAGGGACACAGTCGGTTTCAAAGGGAAGGCCCACATTCTGGTGTCTTTAGGCAGTTGGAGCCTGCTCTTGAATTTTGCCCTGAGAGAACTGAGCTGGGGTCACTCTTGATCTTATTGCGGGGTGCAGGGGAGTGGAAGCCTTAGCTGGAAAACTGTTCGGGGTGGGGTGGGGGTCCTCTGTGGCCAAGTCTAAAGAAATGTCCTCCCGGAGGCTAGGCGAGAAGGTGCTTTAATTGCCTCTGCTCAGAGCCTCCTGGCTCCTTCCAGCCCCAGAGATGGCTTCTCTTTTAGTTCAGGGAGCAGTTTTCCTTGGTTCCTCCGGACCAGGGGAGATCATCCAGCAGGGATGAGAACTGGGGCTTCCCTGAGATGCTGTTTTTCTACCTGTTGTGGAACTCATGCCATCAGACCCACTTCTTTGTGTTCCGTACTTGTAGGAATATTCCTGGCCCCCTGCTCTGTGGTGGAGGTGAAGAGTTACTCCTATTTCACATCTCCTTCATGTCAAGAAGTGGAAGCTGAGTGTTGTTAGCTTGCCAGTGGAATAGTCTTTATTAGGGGGGAGGAGGGTAGCATGAAATTAGGCAGACGATCTACTATTATTATGCAAAGTTCTAAGAGACATGTCCTGACTAATTAAGTACACGTTTTATGTATTTATCCTGGTCTCTTCGACTGGAGTCCACAGCACCCCTGCTCTCAGTAGGAACTGTGTTCCAGACTTAACTGTCTGTGCCTTGTTCAAAAGTAGACCCTAAATTTCTGACAGGAGGAGTGCCAAGCAGAAGGACCACAGATAAAATTTTAACTTGTGCAGCAGCGACTTAAAGCTCTGGAAACCTCCCTCCCCAAGCCGCCCTCCCCTTACCCATTTCCTGGTCCTTATCTGTAGTCATTCCTGGCTGTTATATAACAAAACTTCTGGGAAGCAAACATCTAACCCACACATCCTCTCCTGGGAACAGTGCTTCTGTGAGTGGTGGCAGGGACCACAGAGCAGCTGGGAGCAGGATTCAGGTGGTTTGAGAATGGAATGGATGGGAATAAAAGATGTCCCCGTTATTCTGGGTGGCATGTGTCAGGGGGTGTGAGCGTGTGTGTGGGTCCAAGGGCCACTGCAGCTTCTCTAGTGCAGTCATTCTCAGCAGGGAGGCAGGGACATCTAAAACACTTGGGGGACATTTGCAAACTATCCAAGTTCCCCCTCTGTATCCCCTGCCTCACCTGTTGAGAATCAGTGCTCTGATTCTTTAGGGACTAGAGTGGAACTCAGATGCCCTTAGTTGTCGCTCCTTTTTCTCCCCCTCCATTCCCCCTTTTCCTTTGTCTCCACAGCGGCTCCACTGGCAGGACCAGACATAACCGTGAAACCTGGAGCTGCCCTGGCTCCCTTCGCTGCACTTCCCTTCCCCCAGTCTGCCCCCGGCCCACCTGCCCAGCCACCCTGGGGGCTGCCCTCACGGGCCCCCGCACCTTTAGCCTTTTCTCCAGGCAACCCTCTGGTGCTCTCTGCTTTCCCCAGCTCATTGTTGGTGACAGGGGATGGGGGCCCTGGCCCCAGTGGAGCTGGAGCTGGAGCTGGCAAGGTCATCGTCAAAGTCAAGACGGAAGCGGGGCCAGCTGAGTCCTCTCAAACTCAGAACTTTATCCTCACTCAGACCGCCCTCAATTGGATTGCCTCCGGCGCTCCCTGCGGGGGCCCCGAGGGTCCTGCCCCTGGATGCCTGACAGCCTCTAACGTGAAGACCCTTCTGCCCGCTCAGGCTGTTGGGGTGACCCCAGAGGGCCTCCCAGGCCTTCCTGCTCAGGCTCCACCGCCGGCTGCCCAACTGGCCCCCACTGCATCCCCGGAAAAGGCTTGGCCAGGGCCACATGGGGCACCTGAGGAAGGAGGTCCTGCAGCCGCCCGATCCGAGCCCTCCCTGGGTGACCTCTCCTATGCCTCCAAGGGTGTTTATGAGAACTTCCGACGCTGGCAGCACTACAAAGCCTTGGCACGCAGGCACTTACCCCAAAGCCCTGATGCAGAGGCCCTTTCCTGCTTCCTTATGTAAGTGGGGGGACCTGAGATTCATTATGCTAGAGGCTTTTAAATAAGGAGGATTTGGGGATGGACAAACGAGGTTAGGCTATTTAGGAGTGCCTGGGAGCAGGTCATGACAGAGATGGAGATGCCATGAGAACGAAAATAATAGTAACAATAACAAAGATAACAAGCCTCTTTACCCACTTGCCAGATTATAACAAGCTTTCCGGTGTCTTCTCCTGAGTGATCCTCACAACCCTGTGAGTTCAGGCGAGCATTTTTATGGCAATCCTCATTTATGGATGAGAAAACTGAAGCTCAGAGAGGTTCCCTGTCATACAGTGAGGAGCAGTGGCTGGAGCTTGGGTCTCGATACCAAGTGCCAGGGCCCTCGGGTTCTGTTTTACCGCCTTCTGACTTGGAGTTGAGCCGTCCAAACGGGCCAGGATGAGGAGTGTGGGGCCTGGACCCGTTCCTGTGGGAGCGGAGCTTGTGTGTGCTCCCCCCGCCACACACACACTGCCCCTGCTTTATTCAGGAGCATTCAGGTTGAAATAGGGAGGTGGTAGAGCTCGCTTAGTGGTCAAGTCCCCACCACTCGCTGGATTTGTCATCTGGGGTCCGGGCACTGCGTGTCGTTGCCCTCGGTCGGTCTTCTCATCTAGAAAGGGGATGACTGTACCTACCTCACACTTGATCTAAGCCAAAAGGCCGAGAAGCGATGATTGTACCTACCTCAGAGGGTTGCTGAGAAGATGAAATGAGGTCATGTGAAGGGCTGAGCAGAGTGCCTGGCGTGGAGAATGCCTCATTAAATGGCAGCTGCTATCGCTATTGTTATTATAAAAAGGCAATCTAGAAGAGGAAAAGGACTCACAAAGGCCAAAATGTCTGTGTGAGTGGATGATTGGTCAGGGCGCCCAGGGTCATGGGCTGTTACGTTTATTAAGCAAAGTCCTTAGGCGTCTGGGGAATTTTATCTTCTTCCCACTCAGACCCGCTGCCTCTCTTAACTGCACTGTACTATCATTTTGCGTAAACCACCATCTAACACATGCTGCATTTTCCTGAACTTAAAAAAATATATACATGTTGTCCCTCCAGTGGCTGAACTGCTAAAGAATCTCCCTTTCGACCCTGACTCAGGAGTGAGTAAATCAAAAGGCTCCCCAAAGTCCTCGGTGTGGATCCTGGTACTGACTCCCTGCTTTCTCCAGACAGCTCTGAGTTCTCTCTTGGAGGCTGGCAAGCTGAATTTCTAACTCCTGGCCTATTTCTGCACTCCACGTGCAGGGGCTCTGAGCAGGGTCTCCTGTAAACTGCAGATCAGACCCTCTGCCTGTCACCAGGGTGGCTGGTAAAATGCTCAATACTGCGATTCTGGGGCACTGGAATCCATGTTTATAACAATCTTCCCCAGGTGATTCTAGGCCCAATAATGACTGAGGACTCCTGGGAAGTTAGAAGGGCAAAACTGAATCACAAAGGGCTCAAAGAGTATCGATATTTGACTGTGAAAGGTATCTCAGGGGCAAACAAACAAAAACAAACAAACAAAACAAAACCACTTAAAAACCAACAAATCAAAACACCACCCAACCTTTAATTAGAGATTCATTTCAGATAGTGAGTGCCTTTTTTTTTAAATGCAAGAGCCTTTGAGCAGGGTTAAGCCTACTTTACAATGAATCCCAAAATAAGAGGAGTGCTTTCTTGTTTTGTTGAGAATATAGCACTGTGAGAATTAAGACTAGTTGAGCTTAGAAGGTAGGAAGAAGAATCTGTTTGATTTTGTGTTAGGTTTGTACATTTCAGTGGGAAGAAAGGCCAGTATGGTGAATGAATAGCTGGGAGGTTGGGGGTCTGGAAGTCTAATCAGAAGTGGAGTGTGACTGTGGGGCATGTTTGATCTGATGCGGGTCAGGGGTTGTGCATTGAGGTGGGTGTCAGAACAAGTAGGGGGGTACACCTGTAGAATGTGACTCACCCTGTGGGGGTTTTAGCCCAGTGCTTCGTTCCCTGGCCCGGCGGAAGCCCACGATGACCCTGGAGGAGGGACTGCCAAGGGCTGTACAGGAGTGGGAGCGGACCAGCAACTTTGACCGGATGACCTTCTATGAGATGGCAGAAAAGTGAGTCTGACCAATCCACATCCTCCTGAGGGTTGGAGTATGTGGCTGTGTGGCTGAGGGATGGGGGCAGGTAAGAGAGGCTTGGGTGTGAGCAATTACTATAAGGGGTGCAGGACAAGGGGTGTACACTAGGATAGGGTCCCCTGGATCCTCGTGGCTTCTCTCACCACCTTAACTCTTGGGTTTTTCTGTCCTATCTCCTTTTGGAGGCTCTCCCTTTTCCAGATCTTGACAGGAGCTTTGATATTGAAGCTCTTAGGATGGGACTGGAGCTGCACTGGTGTAAAAAATTCCACGCTGAAGGGACCTAGCAATGAGGGAAGCCCTAGAAGGCAGATTCTTTCCTATCTCTGAACAGGTGGCAGGTGGCGACTGATGCAGACCGTAGGGCCACCACTCCTCTAGAAACAATGGCACAGAAATTGTTTAGCCCGGCATCTCAGGGAGGGGAAGGTCCTGGGTGCCCAGAGTGGTCTTCTGGCTCATATCCCCCACTACTTCATGATAATCTCCTAGTTAAAAAAAATAACTCAGGAAAATAAACCCTTTCCTCCAAGCTTTCTTTCCCCTAAATCTTCTGGACCTTCTAGATTTACCCTCCCCAGACCCCAGTCCCAGTTTCAGGACTCTGGGATCTCAGCACTGCCTCCTGGTGGGAACTGCCTTGAATTGCAACCCAGGCCCTGCTTCAGGATTTCAGCTGTTCCTTTTGGTTGTAGGCAGGGGCAGATGGGTCCTTGAGGAGGGCCCACGTGTGGGATCTTGCCAGGCTGTGGCATAGGCCTGACTGAAGCCAACAAGCCTGTATTAATGGCTGCTAGACACCCTTTGTGATGCTGGGTGAGATTGAGTATGAACAAGAACTGAGAGCTACGGTTCTGTTCTGTGAGGCTTACAAGCGCTAGACGGTTCAGTAAGTGATGACTGCAGCTGGAGGGACTAGGAGCTGACCTTGTTAAGTTTCCTGGGAACTGTCATCCAGCTGTCTGTGAGCAGATCTCTTCTGGTTTCTAAAGTATATTGGTCTTCTCAGCACTGCCCGGGCCTTCCTCACCCTCTGCAGGTTCATGGAGTTTGAGACCGAGGAGGAGATGCAGATTCAGAACACACAGCTGATGAATGGGCTCCAGGGCCTGCCTCCTGCAGCCCCCCTGAAACCTGATCCTCCAGGGCCCCTGGCCCCAGAGGTTTGCCAGCAGCCAGGTAAGGCCACCCAATTCCAACAGGTGCTGGGAGCCAGAGGCTCAAAGGGAGGTGCACAGAACCAGTCCCGGATCAGGGAGGCATTGCCCTTGCTTCTACCGGTCTCCCTCCAGGGAGTGGCTTTTGATGTTCCAAACAGGGCATCCACAGGAGGCTGAGTTCTCAGGTTCCCCCTTTGTCCCAAACTAGGTATTGATCTTGGCCAGGTAAGCCAACCACTCTCTGAGACTGGGACTGAGGCACATAATACCTCATCTGCCCAAGAAATGGGGGCTGGATCAAGGACTTCTTGGAACTTCAGGGATTCCAAGATTCCTCATACAGAGTCTCTCTCAGACCCTCCAGCTCCTAAATATTCTCCCACAGCTGGTACTGTTTCAGGTTTGGCCTGATCCAGTCCGGAACCGTTTCCGTGTACCTAGGTTGCTGCCCTTACACATGGGTGTGGGAGGCAGAAGCTGTGGTCTCAGTGCCGCTTCCCACCTCTCCTTCCCACCTCGCCCCTCAGTGTACATTCCCAAGAAGGCTGCCTCCAAGGCCCGGGCCCCCCGCCGGCGGCAGCGCAAAACCCAGAGGCCTCCGGCCCCTGAGGCACCCAAGGAGATCCCAGCAGAGGCTGTGAAGGAGTACTCTGACATCATGGAAGAGCTGGTGGCGAGTCACTTGGCCCCTGAGGAGTCAGATGGAAAACAGGAAGAGGAAGAAGGGCAACTGCAGGAGGAAGGGCTGTATCCAGACGCAGGTCTCCTGAGCTACATCGATGAGCTGTGTTCTCAGGAGGTCTTTGTCTCCAAGGTGGGCTGGGCCTGCACGGCTGCTTTGTAGCAGATCCTGGGGTGGGAACTCGAGGGAACCAATGATGTAGGTTCTGCCCCAGGCAGTTAAGAACTAGATTCTCTTCCATACTGAGAAGTGTGTGTGCATGTATGTGCGTACATCGATGTGTGTCGCTGGTGGTTTATAACCACCCAGGCAGTGGGTTGGGGGTAGGGGTGGGGCAACGTGGTGCTTCTCTTGAGCCTCTTGGTTGACAGGTTACCTCCTGTCACAGCACTTGTCACCTGGCTGCTGGCAAACTCACAGCACTTTTCCTTCCGTTCCCCAGGTGGAGGCCGTCATTCACCCTCAATTTTTGGCAGATCTCCTGTCCCCAGAACAACAGAGGGATCCCTTGGCCTTAACTGAGGAGCTGGAGCAAGAAGAAGGACTCAGTCTTGCCCAGGTAAACCCCGGAGGTAGAGAACATCAGAGCAAGAAGCTCGTGTGGCTTTATCTAAACCTATGCCATCTTCGATGGTATGGCTTCAGAACTGAGCTTTGGGTGCAGAACAAGTAGGCAAGGGACCATGGAAAAGGGGGTGGTGGTGTAAGGGCTCAAAGCATGGGAATAAGACCCAAGAAGGTGGAAAAGATGAGCTGCGGTATCTGGTTGTGATACCGTCACTTAAGACGCTTGCTTGCGTTCCCTGCCCTGCCCAAGTGCCATCTCCTTATCACTCCACCAGGCACCTCTTCTCACAACCACATACAGAACAGTGTTTGTCTATTCTCCTTCTAAGCTGGTCCAGAAGCGACTCCTGGCTTTGGAAGAGGAGGATGCAGAGGCACCTCCAAGTTGCAGTGGCACTCAACTGGACTCAAGTCCCTCTGTTTCTGATGAGGATGAAGAAGGGGGTGGGCGGCTTCGGCCCTCCCCTGGGCCTCGGGTGGCTGGGGGCACCATTCGCCTTGGAAAGGCTGCTTCTCCGGGAAAGCGGGCAAGAGAAGTGCCTGGAGGGCAGGAGCGGGCCCTAGGTGGCCTGAGGCGGCTGTGCAGGGACGGGAACCCTCTGCCATCCCCCAGTGGCTGGGACCTGCAGCTAGAACTTGCAGCTCCACAGGGAACTCGCGGGCCCCTGGGTAGGGAGAGAAGAGGGTCTGGGAAGGTTACAGGCCAGATATCATCTCATGTGGATGACCACCTGGGAGGTGCTGGGTCCCCTGGGCGCTCCCTGGTGGCTGACAGGGCTTCTGAAGCTCTGCCCCTCTGCTGGCAGGAAGGCCCGCAGCTCGAGATAGTTCCCCATTTGGATGTTGGCCTTTCAGAGCTGACTCCTCTGCAAGGACAGGGGTTGGGGAAGCAGGCCCTGGGGCTGCAGACAGGACAACAGATAGGGAACCTTGGAGCAGCTCCTCAGGAGGAGCCACTGGCAGTGCCCCAGGAAGGCTCTCCAGGGGCCATGTGGGGAGATGACAGAGGTCCTCCCACGGTTCAGAGTTACGATCAGGACCCTTCCCCTAGAGCAGCTGGGGACAGGGATGGGGCTGGGGCCTCTCTCAGTCCAGGGCTTTGGCTGAGCAATGTAATAGACACTGTAGGCCTGGAGTTGCCCTTACAAATCGAGGAGGTCATAGAGAGCTTCCATGATGGGGAGTGTGTAACTGAGCACCAGCGGGGCTGCCAGGCATTGGGCCCCAGAAGCAGCATTTCTCTGGGTCCCGGAGAAACCACAGCACCGGGGGGCGTGGGGAGCAGTGCGGTTCCCTGTGGGAGCACAGATGCCCCATTGGCTTTAGAAAAGACAAACTACTGCAGCTTGTTGGGACCTCTGAGGGCCAACAGCTCGGCCTCGCAGCCTAAAGTAAACAGAGGACAGAGCCCTGAGACCATTCAGGATCCCAGTGATCTGTGGGCTGGGGCTTGCCCCCTGTTGCTGGAAAGCAGCATTGATGCCTCCACACGGGGGGCTTCCAAAGAAGCTCCCCTGCCTGCAAGTCAAGGCAACATCCTTATCCTGGGGCCCCAGGGTACCTCCTCCTTCCCCAAGGCCAGCCCAGAGGCAGGGGGCAGAGACAGTTCCATTTCTCCTCTGGTGGAAGCCACCAAATGTGGCAACACACTCAGTGTTAGAGATGCCTGTGGCCTCCAGCTTGGGGCTGCTGAAGACGCCTGCCCACTAGGTTTTCATCCTTATGACCCCCAGGGAGAGGCCAGGGAGGATACTGATTTGTCTGAGCCTAAAGACCTTGCTTCCTTACCAGCCAATCGAGAGTCTTATGCACACAGAACCCCCAAATCAACACCTCCTCCCCAGGGTCTTAGAAGCGCTTCCCCTAGAAGAGGAACCAGGGATGCCTTAATTGTGAGAGAAGCCCCTCCTGTCAGTGGAACAGGCAGTTCAGCAGATGGGGCCAAAGGAGAGGAGGAGGATGAAGAACTCTCCAATTTTGCCTACCTCTTGGCCTCTAAACTTAGCCTCTCGCCAAGGAGGGGTCATGGCTCTGCCTCAGGCCTGCTCTCAGGGGGCCGGAGGGGCCACAGAGCACCCCCCTCCCCGACTCCTGAGGCGAGAGGCCTTGGCCAGCCTCCAAATCCAGTTGCCAAGTCTGGGAAGCAAGCTGTAGTTGGAGGTCCAGCCCCGGCTGAAAAGAAGCCTTTCTCGGGGGCTGACCTTGGGGCGCCTGGGGAGAAACCTCTGGCCCTGGGAGCGGTTCGCGCCTCACAGCCTCGTAAGAGAAGGCGTGATAGCTTCGTCACGGGCAGGAGGAAGAAACAACGTCGCAGCCAGTAGGGAGCTGTGGGCCCCATCCTGTTCCACCTGCCAATCCTTGAAGGTGGGGCCCAGAGTAGATTTCACCCACAGACATTCCTCCTCGGCCCTATGCTGTTTGTTGTTCTGCCAAAGTGGCGAGTGTGGGGGGAGGTCATGCTGGCTAGGTTGGAGGTGGTCCTCTTGGTGAGAGGTGAGAAGTATCTTTGAAAGGAGTTGTATGGAAAAAAATGAATAAAGACATTTTTGTTGTTGGAAAATGTTGTGTGTGCCCTTTTGGACTCATGGCATTGCTGCTAGATGGCGTAAGATGCTGAAAAGAAAGGAGGTGGAGGTGGCCTCGAATTTGATGGATCCAGGTACCTTTCCAGCTTCCAGCCTTATCTAGGCTCCTGGATAAGCCCCAGCTCTGAGAAGTCCCCAGGCATCACTTTATTCCTTCATCCAAAGCCTGGACTTGGTGTTGGGAGAGCTTCTCTGGACATCCTATCATTATCTGTCCCTACAGATGGAAGGGATTATAATTACAGGTAATTGTGCCTAGACACAGCACCTTCATTACGGAGGCCTTTTCTTCTTCCTTGAAAAGAAGCTGGATGGAAGGGACCTTTATGTTCCCAATTCTTCCCATGGGAGAAAACTTCCATGTGGCAGGTCTGAGCTGCAGGCAGGAGGGCTGGTTCCGACTGACACAGCTCTCTGCTCCACAACAGGGGGCATCAATCTCAGTAGGACTATTATATATGGAATGGTAGTTAGCTATTTTTTAATCTCTAATGAGGACAGAACAAGAGGGAATAGGCTGAAAAGAGGTTCGTGAAGAGGCCTGTTAAGATGTGCGTTTATCGGTATGACAACAGGAAGGGAGATGAAATTTGCATTTCTGTGCAGGAGAGAGCCCTGCCCGTCTGGAAGTAAGGATTCATCCAGCTGTTGCCAAGGGGACTAACCTGGGGAAGCTTCAGGGTCATCCAGTGGGCAGCCTGCAATCATTAAGCCTTTTCCTTTGTAGCTAATGACACCATCAGTGTGACTGACCTGCCTTTTTTTAAATAGATATAGATATATATTTATATATAAAATAGTTTCTTACAAAATAAAGCCAAACAAACGGAAAATGAAAACCAACTTAAAAAAACAAATAGCAATAACCAAAAGTCAAGCAGGACAGAGATGGGCTTGAGGCCCAAGGGTGGCCCCTGGCGCTGCCCTGAGTCTGTGGGCCGGTGCGAGCTGGGGAGGTCGGGGCGCTCAGTCGCCCTTTTGCTTGGGGGCCTGCACGCTCCCGTTGGCCAGAGCCGGGGGGCTGCCTGGGGGGGAGGCATGTGGTTTCTGGGAGGGGCGCAGGTAGGTGCTGAAGAGCTTCCCGTGGAGCGGGTCGTGGAGGGAGAAGTCCTGGAACTGACCTGGACAGGTAAGAGTGAGACGGGGAAAGTAAAGCGACCTCAGGAGGAGAGGAAGAGGGTCCCCCGCTCTTTCCTCCGAATTGGTATGTCCTGTTCCTCTCATCTCAGCCTCACTGTCTCAGATGCAAGTTCATATCCTGTCTCCCCAGTTGGTTCCTCCCAGCCTCGCCTCTCGGACATCCTGGCCCCTGTCCTGGCCCCCAGCTCTTGTTCCCTCACAGGCCGGGAGGCGGTGGCTCACCGAGGGAGAGGCCTTGGCAGGGTCCCTCCTGGCACAGCTCGGCATGCAAAGTCATGGCGGCAGGGCGGGGTGACCCCAGCAGCAGGTGCAGGATGGTGCTGAAGCCGTCTTTGTAGAGCAGGCGGCCGGGCCCCTCAGCCTGCTCCTCGGCAAAGAGCTAGGAGGAAAGGGGAGGCAAGTCAAGCTCTCTCCTCGTGCCATCACGCTGCACATCTGCTAGACAGGCTCCTCTTCCAAGAGTGCGGAGCCCAGGCCCTCCTGCCCCCGGGCCCTTTCTGTACAATTATAATCCTCAAAGCTGCTGCCTTCTTCCTGGTCCCAGCCAGGCCTCAGCAGAGAGACACTGGGGCTCCGCAGTTTGGACAGTGTGGCATGGGGGTGGATACCAAGCACCTACTGTCTAGATGCTACTGGGGACAGCACACCACACAGGCCTCCAGGTGGGGTAAGCACAGCAACCCCGTGCCCTTCCCGCCCCCCCAACTTCCTGATACCTCAAAGGCCAAGCGAGTCAGCTCCTCCAGGTTCCTGCCCCCATCCAGAGCTGCCAGTGCAAGGGCCACATCTCGGAAGTCCACCAAACCCTTGGCATCCTGGAGGTTGGAAGAGAAACCAGGACGATGCGGGGACCAACCCCGTGTCTGCTCCCCTCTGAACTGTGAGCCCTGAACTCTCCAGGACCCCCTAAAGTTCTCTCAGGTCACAGGCTTGCTCAGGCGATGCCCCCCCAAGTCACCTGGTGACATAGCTCTCCTTTCACGAGATCTATTAGGTATGAGGGAATCCATCAGGTAAGCTGAAGTTACCAGTAAGTTTCTGACATACTATTAGGGCTTTCCTGACCCCAAGCTGGAAAAACTGGTTCTCTCCAGACCTGGCCTATGTGGGAGAACTGGTCCAACAAACTAGAAGAGGGCCACTGGCATAATTTACCAAAAAATACAAAACCGCAAGGATGCCTGCTGTGCCAGGCCTATGGGGGACTGTGGCGCTTGGGTTTTGGTTCTGTTCTGCTACAGGCTACGATGGGATGCCCCTCTCAGGGACAGTCTGCCCCACACTGAAGAACTGGCACAGCTGGGCCACTCCCTGTCCTTTCAGAGGATGTTGATAACTATGGTCTGCATCTTACATCAAAAAGAACTCCTTAGGACCACTGGGGGGTTGTTCATAAACAGTTAAGTCCCAAGAAATACATGGTTTGCCAAGATTCCTGAAAAAGTTCAGGAAACCCCCAAAGAAGCTCTGGGATATTTAAAAAAAAATCTGCCCAAGTATCACAGATGCTTCCAGATCTCAAACTCTTAACCCCCTAGCCCCTCACTGTGGTGCTGCCTCCTCCGTATGTCACCTTCCCGCTAACCCTCACGACTCTTCTCTGAAACCCTCACACAGTGCCCCACAGGTTGGATGGTCCCCCATTTTGCCAGCCTCTAAAGTGGCTTCAGAAACCTATGGATCTCAGTATCTCTCCATTGTTCTTTCCCACAACGACTACAACACTGTTCTTCAATGCATTGGGGACTATTACAAAAAAAAGAGAGAATCCCCCAGTGGACCTCCTATGTCCATCTACTAACAGCTGTTAGAACATCCAGCCCAGACTCCAAGATGGCCATCTGATGCAAACCACATGGCCCTCAGATACCATCCTTAAATCTTGAGCAAGCCAGCAGGTAAAATCTTTTACCTGCTGGAAGTAGCTAAAGGCACCAGCACTGTCTGGGGGTCGGAGAGCTGCAGCTGCCTGGCAAACTCTTCCTGGCTGATCATTCGACTCCGGCCGGGCTCTGCTCCAGTGTCCACACGGCCAGGGGACAGCCTACAACGGAATGTTGAAGGCAGAGAGCTGACTCGGTTTCTTTCTAGACACATCACCCAGCAGGCCCTTGGCCCCAGCCCCAAGAGTTCTCCCAGCACAGGTACATTTGCTGTTTTCTTAAGATGTGCTCTGACTCATAGTCTCTGGAGAGCCATTCCCACTTCTGTCACTGGGGTTATTACATATCTTTCTTTATTCCTCCTTGCTTTTGCTCCACTGTCTTTCAAAACATTCCTCTATCTTCCCACTTTTTCTTTTTTGAGACTTTTCTTCCTCCTACCCATTCTTTTTTTTCCCTTCTTCTTCGTTTTCCCTATCTACACGTTACTCTGCCCACCCCCTCATCCTCAAGGTCACTTACCCAGCCTTCCGAAGCACCTTCCCCAGTTCCCAGAGCTGCGGCTCCAAGGCTACCTTCAGCCGGCCCACCACAATCACCGGCAAGCTGCCCACAAACTCACACTCGGTGGCTGGAATGCCCAGGGCCCTATAGGATGGAGTGGAGGGGGAATGAGGCAGAAGAACCCCCTGAGGGTTCATTGCTGACTCTGGCCTCCTGATGAGGCCAGCCACCCACGAGCCCTTCCCACGGCCCCATTCCTGCCCTTTGCCTCAAAACCTCAGGCCCCTACCCCTTCCTGTGGTTCCTCTGCCCTGTCTATCAGTTCTAGGAACTCCTCTGTGGGACACTCACTGTGCCATAACCCTCTGGACATTGTTGGCATAGAGGGTGGGGTCCCTGCTCTCCTCCGGGCTGGGGCGGTACACAGGGAGGAACTGAAACACACAAACGCTTTTTATCAGGACCTCAGAGCTCGAGGTGACCCCCCTTCCAAGGTTTCTGGGGTCAGCAGATGCCCAATCTCCCACCCCATGCACAGGGTCATACCTCCACATCCACAACGCTGCAGGGCTGAGAGGCTGTGAGCCAGAGGACTTTGAGCCTGAGAGAAAAGAGACCTCCGATGCTCATCAACCTCTAACTACGGGCTCCCCTACCCCAAGGCTGGGGGTGGCAAAGTTCTGCCCATTGATAAAAAAATTAACTACTAGCATACAGTCAGCTGGACGAACGTGCAGGGGGCGCCCAGGGTCCAGGAAGGTGGAAGGACGAGAGAGAGCTGCAGGGCCACGCCAGAGGGCGCGGTGCACGTGAGGGGAGGTCGGAGCAACCAGGGAGAAGACAAGAGACAAGCTTGGTGCTGGTGGATCTCAAAAAAGGGAGAAAATCACCTAGAAACTGAGAACTAAATCAAAAGGCACTATCATCACAGCAGGAACGACTAGGTGGGATAGCTGAGAGCACTTCCAGATTATACATGGAGATGAGAACAAAGTAGAGGGAACAGGCATCCTTTCCTCTGGCGTTCTCTGTCCCAGGATGAAGATGGGCTGATCACCTTGTTCGGAGGCTGACAGATGGCCAGGAATTCTAAGGGACCCCGCTCCCCACCCTCACCCGAGGAACACCAGTACTCACACTCCAGGGCCCCTCCATGCCCAGCTGGTGGTGTCCTATGGGAGAAGCAGAGGCGAGGGGAGAAAGGCATTCCTTTTCTCCCCTGGAACTGGCTGACCCTCTTTGAGCAGAGGCCCTGGTCCGGACCCAGCCCCACCCAAAGCCCCACACACCCCATGGCAGCATTAGCAGTTCTCAGTGATTCCCATTCGGGCTGGACTTGTGTGCCCCTTCCCCTCTCTTGGACAAAGACTTACCAGACTGTTGGGGTAGCGGATGAGGACAGGCTGCACAGGCACCCCTGCGATGAAGGCTCCTAAACCCATTTCCACCCCCACCCCCCAGGCAGAGGTTAGCACATGGAGGTAGCTAGAGATCAAGCACGGGGTCTGGAACAGCTCTACAATGAGGTGTGGCCTTGTCCCATCTCATTATAATTTTCTCTGACTTCTGGAGACTTCTCAGTGTCAGCTAGGAGGTTCCCTGTCTCCCTTCCTCCCCCACCTCTCCACTTCTTGGGTTATTCCAGAGTCCCTCTCCAAATCTGGGATTCCTTTTTCCCTTTCCTTCGGCCCTACCATCCACTACTGTTTCATTCACCTGGTTTGAACTTTAGCAAAGCCTTCTTGTTGGAACAGGTGCCCTCAGGAAAGAATAGTACCTGGGGGAAAAAAAAAACAAGGAACCAGAATGAGGTGGGGTGAGTGGAAGGGGAAAAGAAACCTCTTCAGGAACACATAAAAGGTGAGGAGATCTTGAGACCCTTACCCACCTGGGGCCACTTGCCTCCTGAGGTAGCCCGTCTTCGGACCTCCTCCACCACTCTGCGCCGGGAAGCCGGGTCATGCCGGGACACTAGGATAGCTTGGTTGAAGCGAAGGAGGGCTGGGGTCCAGAGAGGATACAAGGAGTCACTTGGTTCCCACCCAAGGCATTAACACTTGCAGCCTCCTCTGCCTCAACAGTAGGATATGCTTCTCAGTGATCTCTTTGCCCTGGGGACCCTCCTTTCACGGTAGGTTGTCCTTTTCGGGAACTGACCAGAGTGCCTCTAACATGCTGTCTAAGCACAGCCCTTAGATTCTAAGAGGCTGGTTTACAAGTGGTGATAATTTGCATTTCATCTGCCAGTATCAGCCAACATCCCTTCTAACTTCTCCCTCCCCTCTTGAGGCCAGCTCTCTCCAGAGTGTCCCTGATTCCTGTCTTTTTTGTCCAGAGTGGTCATCTCTCCCCCTCACCCCTCTTAAAACCGCTCACCTCCAATGACAGGAACTGAAAGGTTCTCAGCTCGAGACACAACCTTGGGCAGGTCACAGGGCAGCAGAACAATGGGGTCAAAGAAAGTAGAGTGGGGGGCGGCGACGAGGACAGGGGCTTGAAGGCGAGAGGCCCGCTCGCCCCGAACTCGAATCCGGAGGAAACCCAGCAGGAAAAAGAGCAGGCGGCTGAGGCCCAGCACCCCACTGTGGCACACGGTCCTGCAGAGCAAGGCTGGGCATCAGCAGAGGCAGCGACCCCGGCCCTCATTCACCCCAAGCTCAGACACCCAGGGAAGTGGGTGCCCTTCTTTTGCCCTCTGTTATTCTGGGGGAAGGGGCTGGAGTCTCTGGTCCCTTTGGGACACAGTAGGGTGTATCACTTAGACTGGGGTCCGGGGTACCAGGGTCTGAGCTTGGCTGACTCCCCTCACCTACCCAGAGCTTCAGAACCCTCCCTCCTCTTCCCACAGAGAGAACTGAATGGATAGCAGGGAAGAGAAGTGAGGAGCTAGGTTTCTAGGGATTGGTCCCTCACTTACTTCCTCCATCCTGTAATGGGCTCCTGAAGCTGCTCCTCAGTGAGACCAGCTACTTGCAGCCAGGCAAAGGGCCAGAGGAGAAAGAGGACGATAAAGGCCAGGAGCACTCGGATAGGGGCCAGCAGTGCCCCCAGGAGGCAGAACTGCAGAAGGTGGGACAAAAGGCTCCTTAAGGGCTATGACATGCTACCTCCAGGCTTCTCCCTCTCCCACAAGCATTGTCCCAGGGGTAGAGGGCCATCACCCCCTGTAGATCAGGAGACAGGTGACGTGGGAACAGGACATGGGACTGGAATCCAAGGTGGGATGAAGATACCAATGAGGGAAAGAGGATAAAAGATTAATAGGATCACAGGCCTCATTTTTCTATCTTTCAGTTGGTCCTCACCACATCTATAAAAAAAAACTGTTAAGAGGATTTAATAACTCCTGCAAAAGGGCCCAGCACAGTGCTTGATGTAGAGTAGGTTAGAGATAGTTCCTCCTCCCCACATCCTCTTCCATAAATAGCTCTTATGTCCAACAGAAACCAGGTGCATAGGGCTTTCCACTTGGGCTTTGGAGGCTGAGGGCTGGAACACAAAGAGAGAAAGGTCCACTTTTCCGGCCCAGGCCAGTCTCCAGTTCTGCCCAGCAGCACTCCCCCAGCACTGGGGGAGCAGGGAGAGAAGAGCTAGGCCCTGCTCCACAGGGTCGGGGTTGCCAGGAGCCAGGGTGACTCCAAGCGCTACCCTGGGGAGAGTGCAGGTAAACAAACCAAGCACCAGGAGCCGGCCTCAGGGGAGGTGATGGGAACAGAAACCTTGATACTCCCTTCTCACACCACTCCCCGGCTCCCCGAGGCCAGCGGGGCCCTCCACTTCCTGTAGCCAACCCCCTTCTCAATCTCCCTCCCCCCTCCACCAGGAGGTGCTGCAGTGCGGGAGGAGGGGGAGTGGAAAGAGGGGTTGTTGGAAGGGCACGGGGTGCAGGCTCCGGGCCCAGAAACCTCTTCCAAGTCATAGCCTCCGAGAAGCACTCAGCACGCCCCAGCCCCCACCCTCGGCTATCTGTAGCCTCCAACTCCATCCTAGCCATCGGCCTCCGCAGGATGCATCCGCAGTCTCCAGTGTCCTCCATCTCCCCCTATCCCTGGGTCCCCTGCAGTCCTCAACCTCACCTAGACAATTCTCACACCTCGAATCTCGTCTATCGCCCAAGCCTGCGTCTTTCCCAGGACTCCTCGCCCACCCCCGCCGCCCCCACGTGCGCACCTCCGGACTCCCGCCCCGCTAGCCTCTCAAACACCTCCTTTCCGGATCTCCATCCCCGTCTTTGCCATGGTTCTAAAAGGCCTCCGTTTTTCTATCCCCACGAGTCCTCGCGACGCCCCCCGCCCACACCTTACCTTAACCCTCTGGAGGCGGGAGAGATGTAACTCATGCACGAAGGGGTTGGGGGGCGCTGAGGGCCCGGGGGTGGGGTCGAGGGGGGCCCAGTCCCCCGGACTTCCCTGGCTCATAGCGGCGGGAGAAGGTGGGAGGGAGGGCGCCCCGGCCCCTGCCCCCGGCCCCTCTTTGCAGAGCAGTGGCTGCGGCTGCAGCGG